AGGGGAGGGGAGGGGGAGGGGTGAGTGTCCCTGGGGGTCCTAAGACCGGCTTCCCCACTGAGGCTGGGTGACAATAACAAGAAACTGTGAGCCCCGAAACACAAGGAGCCCGGATTAGAGCATCTCTCAGGAACCAGTCTGTTAGTCAATCTCACAATACTCTGATTCATACTTGCTTGTGTGAGCTGTGACACGGGGGATTTGAATGGCGAAAGCTCTAGAAAGAAATTGATTCCAAGGCCAGAGGCTGAGTTGACAACGTGAGGAGATGGCGCCCCCCAGTGTCAGGATGATGCTTCGGAAACCTGGACCAGGCTGAGCGCGAGCAGTGACCTTGATGCTTCAAGGTAGGCACGACCGCTGCAGAAGGGGCGGGAAGGTGCCCGTGGCCGGGGGGAGGGGGACCGGTTCCCGCAGTACCTGGTTCTCCCTCTGTCGCCGTCCAGGTCCCGGCTCTGTGCTGCAGACCCATCTAATGCAGCTTTCTCCAAAGACTCAAAAATATCACCAAGCCATTTTCATGTGTTTTATTCACTCTTTTCTTCTGTAGTAGATGCATCAAACCCCGAGGATAAACAGTTTAAAATCATATGGTCTCAGCACCTGGAGTCCCACTGTCAACAATTTTTCTTGTTCAAAGCCAGATCATTTCCAGCCCAGGGGCCTCTGCTGATTGGCAGGACTGGCCTCAAACCCCCTTTAACGCCATAGACATGTGTAGAAAGCTGCCAAAGTCACTTTCCCATTCTTAAGGTTTAAATGGAAAGACAAGCTACATATGAAGTTCTAAATCGGGGCTGCCAGCCTGGGTCCCCAGGACAGCAAGTGGCTCTGGTCTGCTGTAAAGGATCCATGTACAGTTCTCAAAATAAACTTGGAGGGGGAGAGAACTAAAAGAAAGAGAAAACTGACGGAAATTCACTCCAAGATAAACAAATATATGAATAATGCAAACACTTCCCAGGTCCTTTCAGTGTAACAAAATGTGTAGGGAAAATCTTAACACCCTTTGCCCTGAAGATAACATCCTTAGTAAGTATTCTATAAAGCTCAAGAAAATGATCCCTGGGCTGGTGGAGTCTAGTTGAAGCCAATCTTGGAAAGAAATCTTAGAAGTCCTTTGGTCCAACTTTGGAGCCTGGTCCCTCATGGAACTCGTCAACTTGAAGCATTGCCCTGCAGGTCAGAAGCTGAGCATTATCAGAAACTAGAGTGGATGGATCTCTTCTTTACTGGGAACATAGTTAAGGGACAGGATCACGGTATCCCCCCCCCCGTTTTTTTCTTCTGATTATGGTAGCGACACGTGCTCATTATAGAAAAATACAGAATGTGGTTTGGAATTTTTTCCTCAGTGTCATTAAATATTTTTCTATGTCACTAAATACTTTTCGAAAATTTCATGGTATCAGCTGCACAATGTTCCATTTTTAAAACCATTCTCTTATGCTCAGACATTTGTTTCCAATTTTTTGCCATTTTAAAGTGAGTGCAGTGAACATTTTGCATATTAACCTTCATCCAGATTTCTGAGTTTTAGAAGGTTCTTTCTGGGTCAAGGGGAAAATCACTTCACTTTTTAAAACATGTGCAGTTGAGGGTCTCATGACACCACGCTGCTGGTTTTCATGACAGCATATGGTGCCTTTAAAGAGAAAATAAAATGGTGAGAAATATATTTGTTTTGAATTGAAAATCAGCTTAAAACAAAAAGAGCTGAGATTTGATGTCTGGATTTCACTACCGCTGTAGCCCTGGACTGTGGCCTTGGGCAAGTCCCTTTGACTCTGTCAGCCTCAGCTGTTAAAATAACTATTTTTTAAACAATTTAAGTTTGTACAGGAGGAAAGCACTATAAAAGTAAAGTGCTAAGTCTTTTCCCTTCTTCTGTGGGACAAAATTCTTTTTTTCTTTCCAATTCTCTCTTCTTGCATTTAAGAAGTTTCGACAGTCCCCCATCTGGGAAACTGCTGTCAGGGTCCCTCGTGAGAGTTTGTCTCTGAGGCCCCGGCTGGTCATTGCTGGGCTTTGCTTGCTGTGAGATTTCAGCAGACATCCAGGAATCCATGAGCAGGTGGAGGGAGGCTTGACTGTGGAGGCGTCAGGCATCAGGGCTGCTTCTGTGTTTTTCCAATTGTCCAGATCACCAAGATGTAAGCAGCGTACACTGGCATCAAAATCTGACGCCCAGAAATGCATCCTGAGACCCAGAACTGCCATTTCCTAGATGAGCTGCCCAAACAGGATCCAAGAAGTTTCAGCACCTATAAAGTAGGGGAGTACCAGACTACTTACATCTTAGAGTTATCCTGAGACTCAAAATAAAAATGAAACCATACATGTGCAACCATTTGATAAACCCTAAAATTCAAACGACCACAAACTATTATTTTGGCAAAATGCAAAGGGCTGAAGTGAGATGGGGGTAAATACAAAGGAAATAGAGGGACTCTCCCTGTTGCTACGCAACCTTACAGCTTCCTTATAATTAATTATTAATGCGATAGTCTAGAATTTTCCAAGTATATTTGGCCCCAGAACTTTTCATTTGAATTACATTTAATAACACCCACACATTAGGAAACATGGGGTTTGTGGTTTGGTTCCACATAGAATATAAGGTCTATGAAGGCAAGCACCTTGTCTTGTACCCTGCTGTACCTCCAGGGTATAGAAGAGCTGCCTGCACATAATAGGTGCTCAATAAAATGTGTTGCATAATGCATATACTTTCCATTAGACATGTTTGAAGACAGCCTCCCGAAAGAGTTTGCAGAGAAAAGTAAAACAAGGGTTTTTATGCACTGCTAGTGAAAGCATAAATTGGTTTAAAGTTTTGAAAAGAGCATGGCCTCATTCATCAAAGACTTTTAAAGTGCTCATACCCTCTCGCCAAGTTGTGCCAGCTCTGGAAATCTATTTGGAAGTTATCCTAAGGAAGAAGAAAAAAAAATTTGTGTCTAAAGATGCTCAGGAGATGAAGTATTGTTTAAAATGGAGAGAAAGAAAAAGGCAACCATCTGAATTATGTTCAAAATTATTGAATGATTAAGTTACAGAATATAAAAACAAAATAGAGAACATTATTCAGTGCCAGTCTGTCAGACAATTGTTCTAAATCTATAGATAAATGGATAGATAGACAGATAGATATACAACTTGTTCATTTTTCCTAACAGCCCTAAGGTAGGTGCTATTCTAATACTCATAGATTAGAACACTGAAGCACAGAGAAGTTATATAATTGGGCCAAGGTCAATGAAAGGACTGGGATTCAAGCCTGGGCAGTCCAGGCTACTATCCGAAAAAATAATGGGAGTCAACACACTCTGAGTGTTCGAAAAGAGGGCAATTACATCCCTTCTACTTTTCTGCATTTTAACAAGTTTATGTAATGATGAGAAACCTGCACTCGAAAAGGGTAAATTAAGGACTTAATCTGTGTTCCTATAATAGATCTGAGCAGAAAGACATCTTAATTGACCATAGGACCCCATTACTGCAACCAGGAAACTCCAACCAGCAGCCAACTCTCTTCTGTACACAAGAGAAAATTAGAGTAAATTCCATTTAGAGGGAAGTGGGTTGAAAATAGGTTGTTTTTATGAATGCAGAGAAACTAGCCAAAGCTAATGTTGGGTTCTCAGTTTCAATGTCACACTTGCTCAAACACCAGTTCTATTTTTAGGTATGGTTCTCAGATAATCACTCTGCCTTACCCAGAAGGAAGTGTTTAAACACCAGAACCTCACGCGTCCGCACAAACCAAGAGGTCAGTGCTGTACTCAGGTGAGATGGGGCGGAGGTGGGATAGAGGTATGCAGGAGCAGTCACGGCCCAGGTACTGGGCACGTAGTGTCCGCTGCTGGAGCTGAAAGGCTCGGGGTTTATATATACATACAGCGCGAGGAACTGCGCTTGATCACCTTTTAGCGTGGTAGGAAGAAAGGGTAAACACGCTAATGATGCTAGTGATGAATGTGAAATGGAACAAATGCCACCGTACTTATCTAAATGGAAATTTTAAGCTAAGGGCACTATATCTATTCTACAATAAGGGTCACTTAGTAACTCTAGAATTTCATTTCCAGGTGCTGTCCGAGCCCACTAGTCCCAACCCCCAGCCCTGTGGGTCCAGCCCTGACCACTCGCTTCTAAGGACTACAACTCCCAGTCCGAGGCAGATCCGTACGCATGCGGCCTGACGACCTACGCCTACATTTCCCAGCAGGCCGAGCGGCTACGCTGACGTACGCGTGCGCTCTTGGTCGCTTTTGCCAACTCTGGTTTGACCTACAGCCGGCAGGAGAAGATGGCCGCGCCGGTAGTGTCTCGGCTCTCCCTGCAGGTGAGAGAACGGAGGTCCTGAAAGCCAGAGGGAGAAGCCCTCCTGGGGTGACTCGTACCAGACCCCTAAGTTCCACGGTTCCAGGCCACAGCTGGGGAGCGTGGCCGCCGTTCAAGGTCGCGGGGCCAGGCGAGTGGGGGGCGACGCCAGGCGGCCTGGGCAGCCCCGCTTTCCCCCCGGGATGCACGCGGGCCGGTGGGCTTGGGGCTGCGCGTGTCCTACCTTGGCGTCCTCTGAGCACAGCCTCGAGAAGCAGCTGGTTTGAAGGGCACAGGTGAAGGGGGTCTCTCTATGTTGTGGTGGTCACACCTGGCCGGGGTCACCAGTAATGCTAAGGAATATTTGTAAAAGCACATTTCACGTTTTAATAAAAAAGTGAGACCGAGAAGTTAAAATGACTCGTCCTTGGCTGCTCAGCCAGTAAGGGGTAGAGCTGAGATTCGAATCCACAGAGTTGGAAAGAAAATTCGTACTCTTTATATTACATGATGCTTTACATATCATGACAGCGTACAGCTTCCGTAAGTTTTCCATAACCCTCACAACCGGTATAGTACACTTAGAGCTGGAATTTTCTGAAGGTGACCTGTGCCTTTGCAGGTGCCTTTTAAACTCTGGATTCCAACTCTTGATAGACAAGATACCATCTCAACAATATCAAGGTAGTATTTTGATAGACAAGGTACTAGGGCCTGTTCTCACATCAGAGGCTGGAGTACCCAAAGAATTCATCTGTATTTTCAGATAGCATTTGGATTCTAAGAAGGTCCATCTCTTGCAGTTCATGCCTGGAATCCTCCCACTTTTTATTAAAATCATGCTCGAGGGTGGTTATATAAATGCCGAAAATCTTGTTAAAATTTTTGGAAGACACATTTCACCAAACTTAGTGTTTTCTCTCTCAGTGGTGTGCTTGCCTCAGCCTACTCCTAGTAAACCAGGAAGTTAGAAGTAGAAAAGCAATTTCCCAAGCAACCTGGAATGATTTCCAGTGGGGAAATTTACTCCTAGGTAATAAAGAGCAGCTCACCCTCATGTAATCTATGTGATGATACAAGGAAATATGAGAAGCGCATCATCTAGAAGTCGTGTTTACTGTTTATTATTGCAGGTGTAAATGCAGAAATCCTTTAAGTAGTCTCATTTGGATCTACTTTCTCTTTTTGTTTTAAAGGTGCGCTGCTTCAGTACATCTGTGGTCAGGCCGTTTGCCAAGCTTGTGAGGGTATGTCTTTTGTGATTGTAAAACAGATGAATGTGTGTGAATCAGACAGCAGTACACTTAGGGGCATGGATTTTGTATAGTTTCCCCTAAACCTTTATGCATGATCTGTGGTTCCCCAAATATGATGGGGGTGGAGGGGCTAGGGGACGGAATAATGTTGAATGCCTGCCGTGGGACAGGCCCATGCATAACCTTTAAGTAGGAGAATTTCTTAAAACCCGATAACAGTGATGTGAGGTAGCTGGTCTTCCCATTTTACAAAAAAGGAAACAGACTTTGGGAAAACTTGCCCGAGGTTATTCAGCTTAGTTTTTTTTTTTTTTTTTTTTGCGGTATGCGGGCCTCTCACTGTTGTGGCCTCTCCCACTGTGGAGCACAGGCTCCGGACGCACGGGCCCAGCCACTCCGCGGCATGTGGGATCCTCCCGGACCGGGGCACGAACCCGTGTCCCCTGCATCGGCAGGCGGACTCCCAACCACTGCGCCACCAGGGAAGCCCTTCAGCTTAGTCTTAAAGCTGGACTGAAACTAAATCTTGCTCATCCAAAGCCTAAGCTTTTCCACTACAATCACACAGTACCAGTAAGCATATGTAGTCATACATTGACGGTTGTGTGGTTTTAAAAGCCAGTGGTTCATTGTAAAAACTAATTCAAGCCTCAAGCACTTAGTAAATTGCTAAAGGGCTCCATTAAACTGAACATTTATGGAGCTCTGTAAGGGATATTTGCAGTATTACTCTGAAATGTATAAAAGTATGCTTGTGTATGTTTCATAAACACCTGTTTGCCTGTTTCTAACATGTTCAAAACTGCCTTCTATCAGTGTTTAAAACCTCCCAAACTTGGAACTAAGTAGTTATTGAATTCAAAGGAATCCTAAGCTCATCTCATAATTAACATAGTTGAATTATAGATAGAGCAGAAGGGGACTTCAGACACCATGTTTCCTAAACCCCTCGTTTTAAGGTGAGAAGTTGGAAGCTCACAGATAGAGTGACCTGGCCAAGGAAACATCCCTCATTTTGAGACTTGTCATTCAGGATAGCTCTTTGATGACATATTTAAACTGTTTTGTGCTATAAAAGATGTATTTTTTAAATTATAAATATTTCTTTCTGCTATTGATACCGTAGTATTGTCTTAACTGATTTTCTTTTTCGCTTCCTCCCCTCCTCCACCCTTGTTTCTAAAGCCACCTGTTCAGGTATACGGTATCGAAGGTCGCTATGCCACTGCTCTTTATTCTGCTGCATCTAAACAGAATAAACTGGAACAAGTAGAAAAGGAATTGTTGAGAGTAGCAGTAAGTAGCCTTTCCTGTTCATTACTTATTAAGTTCTCGTTGTATATATTTTGCTTAGATATTTGACTCTGCATCCCTAATGAGGTATATCCTAAGAGAAAGAGCTGCACGAGAAAGGAAAAACATATTTTCTGTAATGATGTTGATAGTAATAATACTGGGTATTATCGTTCTGAACCTGTTGTATAATAGGTACAAACTGACGCAGGTAAGAATATTAATATTAGGAACCAAGATTTGGGGCTCAGAGAAGAAATAGAAAATCTAAATTTAAGATGGTAATTTAAGAAACATTGTCATTTCAAAAGAGAATTAAAAAGTCACCTTAATAATCTTTGCTTGTATTTCCAGGTATTTCCAAAACAGTCTTTAGAATATATTACGATTTTGTTTAATTGGGAATTTATTTTCCTTATGAAGCCTTTTGTGAGGAGAAAATGAGCAGAGCACGCTGGGCAGCAAAATTAGTGAACGTGCAAGAGTTTCATGACGATAATAGAGAACTGGCAAAGACCACAAGGCTACAGGGGAAAGTTTATTTTTACGTGTTTTTTAAACATGAAAAGAAGAGTAAATGAACTGAATTAACAAAAGCCTACAGTGTAACTTAAATAGAAGAATCCCCACTGCAGTTTCCCCTGAGTTTTCTAGTTAACACATTTTGTTTCTTCCCCTGCTCCTTTTACAGTAAGTCCCCTACAGAAAAACGAGTTCCGTTCCAAGAGCGCGTTCATAGGTCCAACAAAGTTAGCCTAGGTACCCAACTAACACAATTGGCTGTATAGCACTGAACTGTAGTAGGTTTATAATACTTTTCACACAAATACATAAAAACTAACAAACAAAAAGCAGAACATTTTTAACCTTACGGTACCTTGAAAAGTACAGCAGTACAGCACAACAGCTGGCATCCAGGGGCTGGCATCGCGTGAACAGGCAAGAAGAGCTACTGACTGGAGGAGGGAGAGGAGGTGGGAGATGGTAGAGCGGAAGGGTCGTCAGCAACAGGAGACGGAGGGCTGCAGTTTCACTCACATCCCGGGCTTGAAATAAAGATACTCTACTCTATACAGTACAGTACTTTCTAGTTCCCACCTCTGGCAGTAAGTTCTGCATTAAAGAAGGGGGATGTACAGCTAGTATATAATCTCTCCAGAGAATGTTGTGTTCTTTTTTTTGATTTTATGTTTTAAGAATTTCTTATAATTTTTAATCAACTTCTAAAGATTTTTTTTTTTAATCTTACTGTTTGTTAGAGGGGATAAAAACCTTCACAGACTAGTTGTATAGAACAATAAGTTTTGTTCGTTTTTTCATTTTGAGCTTTTGTGGGAACTTTTGTCCTAACAGACAGTAATTTTAGCTCTGTTTTCCTCCCTTCGTCCATCTATCTCTGCAGATAACGCTTTTGATCTCAGTTGGTACCGTCAACTGTTCTGACCCTCACAGAATCATACTTACTGTTGGAGACACTCGGGGGACGGGTAGCAGGAGCAGACAGGGTCACACACAGGCTTTCGGGAGGTGACGGTGACTGCCCGCCGCTCGTCCCACGCACCCACTTTAGACCTGAGCACCGGTGCTCGCCAAGGGGCCAGTGGCTGGCTTGTGGACGTTAGAATGGGGTTTAATTAAAACTTGAAGTCGGTTAAGACGTGGAGACATAGAGAGGAGGCCATTACCTTAAGACTCTTTATAAAAGAAAATCAGCCATTTCTTGGCACTGAGAGGAAAATATGCTGCCCAGGTGTCACTGACTGTCCATGGGTGATGCAGCAAAAACAGATAAGAAACATGAAAAACTGTATGGTTCCAACTCCGGAATGCTTGTAGTTTGTATAAGCTAGCAGTTTTTATGGAAAAATATTGTTTCTTTGGGGTCGCTCAAGTTGAAGTTTTAGCATTAGATGGCAGTGTAGGCAGGTAGCTAGGATCAGAGACAGAAATTGTCCAGGAGCCCAGGAGAGGGTGCTGACAGAGGGGTTGAGGGGCTAATAGAGGTGCGTAACTGAAAGATGCCCAAATGGAAACAGCCGTTGGTTTGCTGGAGCTCTGGCCTGACACTCAGGGGAGCAGAGTGCTGGAAGCTGCACGTGATCACTGACCAGACGTTGGTGACGTAACACAGCAGAGACAAAGTTGTCTCTCTCATGGTAGTTGCACTCCCGTTCTTTGGCCGTTTTTCCTCCCAGACTGGCTGAGGCTGCTCTGGAAGCCCCAGAGCTCCCGCACAGCTCTGGGTTGGTTCTCCTGAGCTCTCTAAGGGGCAGGACAGAATCCGCATCAGCCTGAGAGGGAGAGGCCAGGAGGCCGCCTGCAGTCAGCACATCTTGTCAGGTCTACACTTGAGTGTGGGCATCATTAGCGTCCTCTTAGCATGGGAAAAACTAGAGTATTACCCATAGTAGGTACATTAAAATAGGTGGTGAATTGAATCTTTTGGCTGCTTAGGTTTTCTATAATCTCTCTTGAAAGGCAAAAATAAATTTAAGAAACTTCATTAAAGTGGTTTTAAGTATTTTCAAGAAATACTGTATCCTGTGTAAAATCATCTTAAAAGCAAAGAAAATTTTGTGATCGTAAACTTCCCTTCATGTGCTTTGAGAGTGCTAATTTTATTTATGAAATATATGATTCATCAGAACATATGTGTACGGAAGCTAGGATCATTTATGGCCTAAAGAGTTTAAGAAATTATTTTTTGGTACTTTTAGCAAATCTTGAAGGAACCCAAAATGGCTGCTTCTGTTATGAATCCCTGTGTAAAGCGTTCCATTAAAATGAAAAGCCTAAATGACATGACAGCAAAAGAGAAGTTTTCTCCCCTCACGTCCAACCTGATCAGTAAGTATTAGATGTTTTTTATTGAAGGCTCTGAAAATTCTGCTACTGAAACTGTCCTGCATGGGCCGGGAACCCCAGCTCCGCCTGCCTTTCGGCAGTGAGGAACCTTGGTCTCCCCCAGCCTGCTGAGCCACAATCTACATCTTAACTGGCTCCCCAAGTGAATCGTTTGGGCGTTAAAGTTTGAGGAGCATTGTCTAAAGGATATTAAGATGCAAGAATGCCTGATTGCACAGTTTCAACCCATGGACGAGACCAGTGGGACTCATACCAAGAAAATGGTTTGTAACCAGTGGCTGTGCCCCCCCACCGTCCTTGAAGACATTTGCATTCTTTGGTACGTTTGAGTTGCTTTTCAAATCCCATGATCACTCAGAATTCAAAGAAAGCGTGTAGTGAATATAGACAGTGTGTTAATTTCAGGATTTATGGCCAACACTGGTATCTGTGGCATAAACCTGAAAATCAGATTGAAAGCCGTATCAAGAAATCTACTGCAAATCCATGTAAGACACACACACCCTTACAAACTTAAATCCTTGTTTGTTCAGTCTTTTTTTTTTTTTGAACATTGCATATTCTTTTTAAATAAGTTGCATCTTCTCCATTCACATTCTTAAATGACATTGAATTTTAAGGCCACAAATCTAAGTTTGCGTTCTAGGTGAATATAATGCTTCATGAATGACCTGATTTAAGTGAAATACCTTTATTTTCCCAGGTTTGCTTGCTGAAAATGGTCGCTTGAACAATACCACTGGGGTCATTTCTGCCTTTTCCACCATGATGAGTGTCCACCGGGGAGAAGTGTCTTGCACAGTTACCACCGCATCTGTAGGTGACGGGCTGTTGCTGCTGCATTTGCCTTGACATCCCCTGTGTCACATTTTGCAGAACAAAAAGAAAAAGGCTAAAATCAAGAAATCGGGACAGGCGACTTGGCACTTGGGCGGTTTGCTTCATTTATACCAGCTTCTGTGAACCTCTGCTTTGCAAGGGCCAGCGTGTCTTCTTGGTGCTTCCCTAACCAGTGATTATTCATAAAGAGTGTAGACTGAGTTAAAAATGTGTCGGGAAATACTGGTTTATGTTCCGTTAAGGTTTAAGTTATTTTGTAAATGTCACACTACGTAGTTTACTGAAATGCGTGTCTCATCTCTCGCGGTGGTGAGTGGGAAGGGGTGAGGCGGAAGGGCCCTTTGGTCTTACTGACTCGCTGAAGCGGACTGAATTTTGAAACCTACACTACTCTGGGCGCTTTATTTTAATATCAAAGGTCTGTGTGAAGCAGAAGTGTTATTATCTTCATTTTACCGATGAGGAGACTGAAGCCCAGGGGAATAAGTTGCTTGCTCGAGGTCACAGAATGTGGAACTAGGATTTGAACACAGGCCTCTCTCTCAGAAGTCCGTGTTCCTTAATCTGCACTACCTCCCCAGAATTAATTCTGTTGTTGTTGTCTTAAGTATGTATTCTCTTCCCACTGTAGTTCAGTCAAGGTAGGGAAACAGTCTGTGAGGCTTAATTATCAGTAGAGCATGGTAGATTTACTTGGGTTACGCAGCACCTGACCTCACCTAGATTAACATTTCTCGTGTTGAAAAGATACTCTTAACTCTCCAAAAGAGCCTAATATGAAGGAGACATTTTAGCACATAGTACCTATCCGTGCATTTGTAGTTCAGTAGTTGGTGCCCCCAAAGCACATTCCTGGCTGGGAGTCAACACAGCTCAAATGTTCTCCGGAGCCCACTGCGACTGCACTGGTTCTCCTTGACCATAGAGCTCAGACCAGGCTCCCCTGGCCAGATGGTCACGCCATCCCCATGGCCAAGCACTGGTGGAGGTCATTCTTCAGTGGTTACAAGGACATGATTTTGTAAGTTTCTTAGAACCAACTGATGCTAATGTTTTTGACATTGAGTCTCCCGGGTAAATAATTTCCACCCTTAAAAAAAAAAAATATATATATATATATATATATATACACCTTGATTAATGACTAGGGGCACAGACTTTAGAAATAGACTGATTTCAAATATCGGCACTAGTCCTCACTTGCTGGTGGGACCTTAGGTGAGTTTTTTTTTTTTAATTAATTTTTATTGGAGTATAGTTGATTTACAATGTTGTGTTAGTTTCAGGTATACAGCAAAGTGAATCGGTTATACATATATCCACTCTTTTTTAGATTCTATTCCCATATAGGGCATGACAGAGTATTGAGTAGAGTTCCCTGTGCTATACACTAGTTTCTTACCAGTTATCTATTTTTTATAGGTGTGTATATATATATGTGTATATGTTTATCCCAGTCTCCCAATTTATCCCTCCTGCCCAGGTGAGTTCTTCTTAACCACTGTGAGCCTCAGTTCTCCCACACGTAAAATGGGAACAATAACTCCTGACCTCCCGGAGTTGTCCAGGTTAAAGGAGGTGGTGGTAGAAAATGCCTGGCACACACGGGTGCTTAGCACGCAGCATGTGTCTGAATGGAAGGTGGGGCGTATACGTCTGAGTTCTCTAACCTCAGAGCCTCAGCGGGTGATTGATGGAGCACTGATAGACTTCCCCACCACCACCCCCCAAAAGACACTGTCGGATCTTTGCAGAGCTTAAAGCCTTCTTTGCTAGCTTTTGGACTCTTGGGTGTGTGGGTTGGGAGGTAGGATTTGTGACAGGTGAAATGCCGCTCCTTCAGCAACATTTGCCGTTCTCACCCAATCGGGGGTAAAAGTTGGGGCAAAGAGGAGAAAACACTGTCTGGATGGTCAGGGCACTTGCTCTGTAGGAACAAGATCACAGAGCTGTGCTGACTTCAGGAGCCAGCCGCCTGCCCGGGCTCTCTGTGACCTGCAAAGAGTGGGGCGGCATGCCAGAGCTCCTGGTACCCGCAGATCCCAGGTCAAACTGCAGCTTTTCATCCAAGGGAATAATAGACTCAGGCTGCACCCGGGGGAGCTGCGCGGAGGAGAGGCCTGCATCCTCAGGCATTATAAACTTCAGGTTTTTCCCCTAATCGTTACTTCTAAGTTGTACTGCTAGTACCATGGAGCAGAGATGGGCAGTAAGTGAACCTAACCTCCCAGTGTGAGCTGCCCATGTGTTCTTGTGAGGCAGGGCCTTTGCACACCCCAACACCAGCCTTGATGAGTGACCGTTGCGGCACAACTCCAGGATGGGTCCTCGAATATCTAACAGAGGAATTCACAAGGCCTGTCTTGGTGATACGTTGCCAGAGGGATGTTTTTTCTCTCCTTCAACTATAGTAACTTTCTGTTTTGCTTTATCTAAATTTAAAGGATGGTTTTGTCCTTTTTTAGCCTTTAGATGAAGCCACTCTTACCGAATTAAAAACAGTCCTGAAGAGCTTCCTAAGTAAAGGCCAAGTATTGAAATTGGAAGTTAAGGTAGGTTTTTAATTATGTACGGTACGTTTCCTCAGGTTGTTTGACACCTAAAATGGCTATAGAAAGTGGAAAATTAGACTTGATTATGTAAAAACTTGCCTGTAGTAGAACCTTCATATTTATATTCAATATAAATGATTATTGAGTCCATTCACAATTTGACTTCTGTCATTTTCTAGATATAATTGTTCCCGCTTACAGTTATGTAGCACGTAGACTTTTCAGAGCACTTTTTCATCTTTCGTTTTGATTAATGAAATGTCAATGTGTTTTCACATTTCCAACCTATTTTCTTTCCTAGATTGATCCATCAATCATGGGTGGAATGGTTGTCCGTATTGGAGAGAAATATGTTGATATGTCTGCAAAAACCAAGATTCAGAAGCTGAGCAAAGCGATGCGGGAGATTCTCTAAAAGTGTTGATTTCCTAAAAGTGAAAGTTCTTAAACTTGGAGCAACAATAAAATGCTTCCTGAACAGAATATACTATGTTTACTGTCTTTTAAAGTGGAAATATAGGGAGCCTTATTTTTATATCTTTCACGATCCCCTTAGCTTAAAGGTTAAAAGGCCCTTTGGAACTTAGTTTGTGTTGATTATTCTTAGGAATTTATGGACGCTTGTATCCCTTAGGAAAAAGTTAACCTTTATACCAGGGACTGTTAAGTACTTCATGTATCTTACCTCATTTCCTTTGTCTTCAAGGCCTGAGCCTGCACTTGGAGTTAAGGTAAAGCAAACTGGTTGTCATCTCCAAGTTTCAAGCGCTGGGGCACATCTCTAGTCAGACACTGAAAGTGGTCCCTGAGCCCACGCTGGTCAGACACTGGCAGCTGCTCCCCCTCTGCTGCTTCACGCTTCTTGCAGCTTCTGCAGCACGTGGGCCAGCCCCTACTGCTGTGCCCCTGGGGTCCCATGTCAGCCAGGTGACTGGGCTGCACAGAGTCCTTCAAATAGGGCCAGGTTGTGCTCACCTGCTGAACTCTTAACAAGTACTTCCAGCGTGTGCATTCGGACTTGTTTGAGCCCAAAGTGATTTGGCCTACAGTCCCACCCTCCACATTATCTTACTTTTAAAGGCAGTAATGTTTTCTGTAAAAGCTTTCAGAGAGATTATTTCCAAAAGATGCCTCTAGTCTAGCATCTAGAAAATCTAAAAGCAGTTACTCTGCTAACAAGCATTCATTCCCTCAGCCCCACTGAGCACAGAGGTCCCCATCAGAGCTGTGCACTTCGCAAGGGAAGGCAGCGGAATGGCAGCTTTCTCAGCCAGCCGGCTGTCACAGCCCCCGAGAATGTCCTCTGAACCAAGGAATGGTCAGGAGTGTCTGCACAGAATGGAATCACAGGATTTTCTCCCCTCTTGGGAGCAGGTATTCCAATGGAAGGTACACTGATGGTTAGAAGTCACTGCTCTTTGGGGCTTCCCTTGTGGCACAGTGGTTAAGGATCCACCTGCCAGTGCAGGGGACACGGGTTTGTTCCCCGGTCTGGGAAGATCCCACATGCCGCGGAGCAACTAAGCCCGTGCGCCACAACTACTGAGCCTGCATGCCACAACTACTGAAGCCCGTGCGCCTAGAGCCCGTGCTCCGCAACAAGAGAAGCCACTGCTCACCACGACTAGAAAAAGCCCGCATGCAGCAATGAAGACGCAACGCAGCCAAAAATGTAAATAAATAAATAAATGCAAGTCCCTGATGTGTGGCAGAACTTCTGCCCATTGGTCCTGCCAATTAAGGCCTTTCCAGCCAGGCTGAGGGAGCCAAACTTGAAATAAATCTTTTTGCTTCTCTGATAATTACAATTATCCTGAAACTGCCCGAAGAGATATCTCAAACACTTAACCTGGTGTACATGCAGCCACCATACTTGAGGTCATAAAATACATCCTGACAGGACTAGAACATCTGCACCCACAGTGAATGTGTTACTTCACTGGGGTAGTAACCCTTTCCCAGACTAGAGTGACCTAGTCGGGAGTAATAACCACTCTACAAAACTCGTTCAACAGGAATTTTCATAAGGGGATATGACATGCCGTCTGCGGTGAGTCCCGCGATGTTCACTGCTTTGCTCTCTGCAACAGTGGACGAGGTGACTGAGAACGCATCTTGGAGCATTTGGGGGGTGTACGTGCAAGCCTCTGCTGTTCCAACCCATGAAGCGTCCCACCTTCAAGGCTCGGTTTCCACCCCTGTAAATGGAAGAAGCAGTAATGCCCACTCCCAGAGTAGCTGCGAGAGTGAAGCAAGATTATGATGAGCTTAGTACCAGGTCTCACAGATGTAAAGGTGTCAGCAAATGGTGTTGGTTACTAAGGTCCAAAGGCCTCTGACATCTCTGGGCCATCTGACCCCGGGGGGTTAAACACTGCACCTGACAGGTAGTAGTCACTCAAGCAAGGTCATCTGGCAAGTCATTCTGCCTGCCAGACTCTCCTGTCTTCAAGAGTCATTCAGAACTCCTGGTTCCTACTAGATCATTAGGATGACTCGCTCCATCAGTCCTCCAGGGAAGTCTCTCCCCAGTAAAATGCCCTTAATCCTGACATAACACCCCTAAGTGAAGGATGCTCTGCAGTTTTCAAGGCCATTTCATGTATATCTCACTTAAGCTTTGTAACAGCCTTGTGGTCCAGATGGGACAGACATCACCCCACTCTACAAATGAGGAAAGAGATGGAGGGGCCTTAGAGATTTGCTCAGTACCACGGGCTTGGATGGCTAGTGGGACAGGTCCCAGAGCCCAGGTCCTTCACTACTCCTGCCCCCACCTCTGCCCCATTTTGTGCTTGTTCCAGCTTGTCACTGGCCACACCTGGCACATGGTCCCTCATCACTGGAGCCAACAAGCCAAGCTAACCTTAGGTGAGTCCCTGTGTCCCTTCCCACTTTGTCCCTAAGATGCTCCCGATTCACCCCTTAACCCAGGTCAGCTCTCCCCTACACTTTCCCTCCTGTGGGCCTTGCTAGAGAAGATAGAGTGGTCCAGACAACAGCCATCGCAGGCGCCCATTCCTTGGTCACCCTCCAAGTGTTTGGACAGCAAACGGATTCCCTTCCCAGAACTAGCCCTGGGTGGGCAGGGGCGGGACGACGGCAGCTAGAAAGTCCTGCAGGGCAATGAGGGACCCAGGGCCACATCCTAGGGCTCAGATCAATGTGCCCTCCATCTGCCATGACATTTCCCTCCTGGCTGTCACGTTGCTGAAAATCTGGCCTCCTCCTGGCAAACCAGCTCCACAATCACTTAACATGTCCACTGACAGAGACACCACTTTGGGTTCCGCGGCTCCTTCCCAGGAGCCGGGAGTACTCAGACTGGTGTGTGGCCCCAGTATCCAGTCACCTAACTTTCACCTGGACATCTGGCCACCCAGCCAGGGACTACATTTACCAGCCTCCCTTGAGGTACGTGACCACGGAGCTAAGTTCCAGCAGATGAGAGGAGAGGAAATGATGTGTGTGACTTCCCGACTGACCTCACGAGAACCAGGCACACAATTCCCTTTCCCTCTGGCTAGATGCGGACGAGACAGCGGGAGCTGGAGCAGCTGCACTTCAAGGTAAAAGCGAAGTGATTTCAAGGCCCTGCCAGGCCTGACCTCAGACCTCTGGGCTGTTAACATGAGGGAGAATAAACCTGTCACTGAAGCCACGGGATGACGGGTCTCTAAGTCTCAGTAGCTGCGTCTGTAACCCAGCCAACACTCTGGTTCGCCAAGACTCACCTGCCTTCCTCCTGGCTTGCTTCCTGATGGCAGCAGGGCTCACACTGCATACCCCTGTCAAACCACAAGTTTCCAAGATGCGTGACGGCTGATAGACAAAATACCTTTGGGGGTAATACTGCCCATATCCTTCAGAATCAAACTCAACAACCTCCCTGTAAATTAAGCACATAGAAATGGGGGGAAATGGTGAAATGCTTCAAACACTGCCTTACATGGTCATCAGGGATTAACCCAGAGGTCTGTGGACAATGATATTCTTCATGGCACTTTTTTACCACGGTGAAAATTTTAAAGCAGCCTCAACATGTAACCATTCAGGATTCTTTTTAAAAATTAGGGTAAACTGGAATACATTCAGGCAATGGGATACTATGAAGTTCTTAAAAATCAAGTTGTTGAAGAATGGAGATAGATGATTGATAGATAGATATAGATAGATGACAGATATAGATATAGACCTGATTGAAAAGAAAGCAATCAAAATAGAAGTGAGATGATTTATGTAAATTGTGTAATTGAACAGGGCCTTGCATAAGGGAAGTGTTCAAGTTTATTGGTTATAAACGGTACAAGAGCATCTAAAATGCATATGCAATGCACACACACACGCACACGCACAGAAAAATAACAGGAATAGTGTGCATCAAAATGCTAACATTTATTTTTGTGTGGAAGAATCCCCCATTAAGTGATTTTATTTCCTTTGTATTTTTCTGTGTTTGCTGAATTATCTGCATTAACAAATATTACTTCTGTAATTAGAAGGAAAGCAATAGATATTCTAGAACAAAATATTGCCTTGATTATGCTGGCTACTAAATGTAGTGAAATAGGCAATTATTCAACATGTTTCATACCACTGATTCACTCCACCCACCAAGGGGGACCTTGTCAATCTCGCAGAAAACTAGGTGTAGTTTGGAAAAAGTACTTTATTTTCTTTGTTTTTCAATGACGTTTAATTTATTTTTAGAACTTCAAATAACAACCAAGAAAATGGCCTAAGATTTTTTATGTTTGTCAAAAATGGGGCCTACTGATTTAAACAAGGCAAAGATTGGTTGCTTCAGGATCAGTCTTTTTAATGTGCTATAATAATTCAACTAGTGTCCAAGCCAACCAGCGAATTTAAGGGATTTGATCATATTTAGATAAATCAGTGATGAAATAAGGAGGAATTACCTTAAAACCAGAACTGAAGAAAATGCTAGAGCTTTCCCATGGAAATTTAGGTTACAATAGAATTCTGTGTTGGTTTGCTAATTCGACCCAGAGTTAAGTCAAAGTTCTGAACATGTGGAGTTTTTTGTGTTGGAAACCTCTTTGGGGAAAGCCCGAGGAATCCCTCTGAATGTCTCTGTAAGACAATATTCACGTTTGCTTTCCCCTCACATCCCCTGGCACGTCTCATGATACACAGCATAGAACTTCTGAAATTCTCAGAAGTACTTGGTACAGGAAATCCATTTCTACTTTGTGCTAACGTTTGTCTGAAGAAGACGTTGGGGGGTTGAAAGGGTGGTTGGTTTGGTTTGGTTTTTTATGTTTCTTTTTGCATAAATTTCCTTTCACAACTATAGCCTTGTCTGTGGGAAAAGGAAACACACAGGAAGAGATGCCATTTGCACAGCTGTCAGTCTGCTCAGAAAGGAGGTGGGGCAAAAAGAACCCAAAACAATCCACTGTAACAGGGTTGGTTTTTCTCCTTTTATTCATGAACTATGTGAATTTAAACCATACAGGTCA